TCAGTCACCGCTTTTGCTATTTTAGCTGCAAGCAATTCATGAAACGCTCTTCGTATTCGAGCAATCAAATCGTCTTTTGATGCAACGGGTGTAGAATAAGCTTTTTGCTTTATTACTCCCCAATATAAAAATCTAATAGAGTGAGGTCGGGAGACCTCACTGGCCAATTCCACGGTCCTAGGCGTCTCATCCATCTATCTTCAAACATTTCAGTCAGCTGTTGATCGATTTGATTGTGACAGTGAGGTGGGGCCCCGTCTAATTGATACCTTCCTTAGTTGGTCTAAAGATATATCATCTAGAAAATCCGCCACAACCGTTTGCAAAATATTGAGATATCTGTCGGCATTTAAATTTTATTCGTAGATATGGTAAGAAATTTGGTTATCTTTAATTACACAAAAAACATTTATGTTAAACTTATTTTGAAAGTTTCTTTCCCGGATAACATGAGGATTTTCAGATGACCACAAATGAGTATTATGTCTATTAAAAATACCTTCTCTCGTAAATTTTGACTCATCTATCTATGTAATACGTTGCAAAAATTGTGGATCTCCCTAGTATCGCACTAACATCGTTTCACAAAATTGTACACGCTGTACGGCGTCACCCGGATGAAGAGCAGAAAGTAGCTTAAATTTGTATGGATGCATATCATTAGTTCTAAGCATCTTGTGAATGGACGCTCGTGAAATGCCTAAATCATATTCTGCGGCACGAGTTGAGGATTCTGGATGAACATAAAATAGTCTATATACCATAGTAGGAATAGGTATTAACTTTTTAATTTTTTCACAGGTAGCGAAATACCCAATAAATAAGGAAAAAAAGGAAACTAATATTATATTCTTAAAAAGCGAAGAAACCGATTTATTACAATATTTATTTGAGACACGTTTGTATTACTGATATCACAGCACTGGGAAAACCCGTCACGAATAATAAATCTTGTTAAATACCTGAGATAGAAGGCTGTTCGTGGGCGTATCCTTATTTCTTCGCTCTCGAGATACAATTTGATGTTAGCGGTGATGAAATAGAAACATGAAAAAAACTAGCAAATGCCTCACACCGCGACTGTAGTGACAAAATACCACAAAGTTTCAAATATTAGCGATCAGCTCGTAAAACGTACTTTAGCGGACTAACTTCGACGACCACACGTCCCAGTGGTATCCGTCAATGGTACATTGTGCAACAGTCGCGAGCGATAACCGGTTGCTAGAGCTGGGCATACAATTTTGTGGAAAAATGCTTCGTTTGCGAGGTACAGGGTGGAAAAGTTGAAAAAATTTAAACAATTTTTGGACATACCTCGGAAATTCTTTATTGACAGGGTTCTGACCACCATTATCGGGTACAATTTCATGTAAATGTAAAGAGTAATGGCACATAAACTTGTATATGGGTGTTGTTTTATAAGAAATAAATGTTACGCCACCGTGCAAAGCAGAAACAATGTAGGTCAGTCAAATTATCGAAAATACCTCGTTTTTTGCCAAAATTTAGTTTACCCCAGCTAAATGTTAATGCTTCATTTTCAAAATGTCGTCCAAAGTTCTCAAAAAACAGTTTTTATTAAAAAAAAAAACTAAACATTTTAGAGAAAAATATCAATCAAATAAAATAATGGCGTCCACCTAACGCTTCCGGTTATACCGAAAGTTGACGTCATCTTCGTTATTTTAAATGGAACACCCTGTATATGATTGCAATTTTTGGATTCTACGTCAATTTTTAGGTGAACTTTCATAAAGGTTTCTTATTCTTAAAGTTAACCGTTTTTGATATATTTAATTTTTTTCAAAAAAAAAAAAATTAACAAGCACTGCCTAATTCAAAAAGATGTGTAATTTACAATAATAAAGTTAAAGCGATAAAATTTATAGGGGACTTGACTAAAACTCTAAGCTTCCCTGCCATAATTTCAAAATGACTTAATTTCATACAGGGTGATAGAAATTTAATGCCAAATTTAGTCAACTTAAAATCATCTTAACTAATTAACTGTGAAATTTTCAGAGGAACTTCAAAACAAGCACCTATCACCAGTTTATTGTTGTCAATTTAAAACATACAGTGAATGTTTATTTGAGTATTATTTATGGTTAAAGAATGAACGTTAACATTTATTCAAATGCCGACATTTTAAATTTATTACTTTTTCATGGAGAGTGTCACCAGGTAATAAATAGGATTTGCAGGGTATTTAATGAGAGATATCCTCATTTACCACCAATGAGTAGACATATTTTACAAAGAATTTTAAAAAATCGATTAGAACATGGTCGAATTTTTGCACATAGAATTTTGCCAAAACAGATAACTTTAGATGAAGGTCAATGTTTTATCATATTTTCATGCTTACCCTGAATCATCAGTCCGTGCTGCTGAACAGGATGTAGGCACTTCAAAAACTTCCATCCAAAAGATTTTGAAAACTAATGGTCAGCATTTAATATTTTATTATTATTATTAATATTTAATAATGATTTTTTGTAATGTTTTTAAAAAACTAAATTAATTAAAAAAGGCTAGGAAGCTGTGATATATTTATTGGAATAAAAAATACAGTTGATAAATCCTTTTAATATATTTAATGGTTTATAAAAACATCGTAATCATTACCCAGCAATATTTAGGGTTACATAAAGTTTTCTTTACTTGATTAATATAATTAGTAATACTTGAGATAAAAGCATTTGTACGGAATAACAAAGGAACATAAATATTTCTCAGCAAACTTTATATCTAAAAAATTAGTTATAGTGTAGGAGTTGGAGCGCCGTGGGACGGTGAATTTGGTTCAAAATTAAAGGCTTTCGTTGATCTCTAACACTTTTATTCTGTAAACTTCTTGAGCGCCCTAACAAACTTACAAAACGTGACCATAACTAACTGAAACCAAAACGTAACTGCTTCGTATTCACGTCAGTCGCTACGCATGCGCACTGTCTAAAGTTCTAGTGTCTAAAGCCATCACCAGGCCCGATCAGGCGGCAGATTCAAACCCGGCTACTACAATAGTTGCAAAACTTTTGTAACATGACTAAAATAGAGATGAAAAACACGAACAGTGAGTAATAATGTAATTTCTATCACAGAACCTTCAAAATTGCATCCAACATTTTCTTCGACTTGGACGAGAGATGGGCGTGAGTGTCATTTCATTTATGTAGAACTAAATTAACATAATCATTTTCACGTTGTTTTACCAGTTCACATGATTTACGAATTTTAAATAAAGGATACAAATCTTCGCGAGGATAATACGATATATTTGCTAAATAGAATAATTGTATTGTATATAGTTTACACACAATACATTTTTGAACGAGTACGCATCTATACCCGAATTTGACGCGCAATATCTCCGATGTACGAGGTCTGTAGGTTCGCAGTGTGTACAACTGCTAGTCAATTATTAGCGCTGTTGCCACATCTACATAGTCTTTATGCGTTCATTAAATATAATTTAAAACTACTTAAATATGATATTTTTANTTAAAACTGCACGGGGTGAACTATTGAGACCTGTGCAGCGATTGTTTCCTCTGGAGTACGAAGGCAAGGTCACAGAAGTGGATGAGGATGAAGTAGGAGATAGGGTTCCGGAGCCAGGAGAGACGCAGTGCGAGGAATCACCAGGGCAACGATCCAGCATACGCCAAGAAGAGGAGAGTGATTTTAGTGCGGGAGTGTCTAAAAGCAGAGTACCCGATCAAAAAGTGAGTTTCACCCGATGTGGTCGGTTGGTAAAATTGCCTAGTCGGTATTTAGACTAAGAGAAACTTGTAAATTTATGTTTGTTATTTTTTATTTGTGAGAAACGTTTCTTAGCATTAACCTTTCTCAGGTGGGAGATTGTCGCATCTATGTATTAACCTTAACGTCAAATGTCAAAGGTTGTTGTTAAAAAAGAAATGTCATGGTTAATTAAGAGTGTGCGATTTTTTCTGTAAAAAAAAAGGATAGTTGATATTTTGTTTTTATTGGAAAAATAGTTACCAATATTGTCATATGTATATGTGTGTACCGAAGTTTGTCACTGGAGAATAAAATAGATATTGAAGTTTTATCGTTATTATTCCCTATTTTTACGAACCGTCTAGGCCGGGAACTACGGGTAGTGTTCCAACGGTGAGACACGACAGATATGTTAATTTTGCTAAACACCAGATTATCCTTACAAATTTATACTCACTTTGGTATATTTATACTAAAGTATGTATTCTGTCCCTGTAGTCAAAGATGGCTTACCACAAACCATTTCTTTTCTTATTACTCAGGGGCAAGTGGCCCTTGAAAAAAGTTTATTTACATAAGGACACACGTCAGTGAACGATGGGATGCACCATAGATAATAATTTCAACAATAACCGAGTTAAATGTGATCAGATTGGTTTTGGCGCCAACTAGATTTAATATTCTGAAGTTGGTGTTTCCGAAATCACCAAAGAAATATCACTAACTGGAATGTCAATGCACGGATAAATTAGTCTTTATACAGGGTCTTCTACAAGCTATATGACAAACTTTGACAGATGGTAGCTGGGTTAACTTCCAAGATTTCTTCTTATATGAACATAGATCCGATTCGATTTTGTTTAGAAGTTGCAAATATTTAAAAAATATAATTTTATATTTCAATCAAAGTAGCCTGATTGGTCAATACATAACGGTTGTGTTTTTGGTTTTTGTTTTTGTTGTTGACTGTTTGATTGACATTGGTTCAGTTCCCATCAGTTTGCATGAAAGATCACTAATTGCGGCTCCTGCAAACTTCTCAAATAAACATACATACAACATACATATTGCTTCACAGTAATCAGATTCGGTCACATAAAAATTACACTCCACAAAAAAAAAAGGTTATTTCATGAACAAAACACTGATAAATAAAAATCATATAAGAAAAAATGTTAAACAAAACAGTTGTTAATTGATATAAGTACGCCGAAATGGTAATAACTACCCATAACCCGTTTAATACTTACCCTCGGTCTCGTCCTATCTCTTTCCCACCTTCAAAGCAGTCTACAAATCAAGGATCATCCACTTCAAGAAGAAATTTTACCACATTCAAGTGACCATTCGAGGCAGCAGGCACGTTGCTTGTGACATCGGTACCGACGCTGGATGTTATCAGGTAGTCGAGACTACCTAAACCGCTCTGTTCTGCAGCTAAATGCAGTGCCGTGCGCCCCTCGCTATCTATACTGTCGATTTTTGCCCCCTGCTCAACGAGAAACTTCACCGTTTCGTAGTGGCCCTTGCTAGCAGCGTAGTGCAACGGCGTCCTACCAAACCCATCCCTGATATTTATTCCACCCTCTTGTACAATGGTCTGTACGAACGTTAGTATGTTTTGGTTATTTTTTCTGTTGATGCCAATTTTACGAGCGAGAGATCGGAAAAAACCGTTCTTTTCGAGGAAAACGCGAGCTGACACGTCTGCAATGTTGATTTCCTTGTCTTTGATAATCTTGAAGTTTACGCAGTTGAGGAGGAGTTGTAGGATAGCGACGCAACCCTCTTCCGCCAGTGAATGAATAAGGCTATGGTTATCCTTCCAACGGCATTGGGGACACGTGAGGGACAGATATTTCTTGAAAGTATCTGCAGGTATCAACTTTACGACTTTCTGCAGGGAATTGTCGAGGAAGGCACGGATAGTCATGAATTCAGGGAATTGTAGTAGTTTGTCGATGAAGAACTCCTGGAATTTTACATTTGGATTGTGCGATTGAAGCTGCAATTCGCTGACTATATTTTCCGCAATAAAATATTCCGCAAAAGTCCTGTGAACAAATTGAAGTTCGTCGTTTGATCTCTGCACGATTCCTATCTTCAGTATGCTCTCGTTTACCTCCTCACAACTCTGTTGATAAGAAGAAAAGAGTCGACGATCGTTTTTATTTAGAGTCACTTCTAAAGCGAGCCTTCTGTAGTAAGGAAGAGATTCATCGAACTGTTTAATCAGCGCGTTATTCGCTGCCGAGTTGCCGTTCGGATTTCCTTTGTATACGTAGATGTCTCTCCGCTTCTCAACGAACATATCGTATAATTTTTTAATTTCTATTTTCTCTGGGAACCTCGGTGCCGCTCTAATCGCATTCAAGTAGTCCTTGCAGCATTCCCAATCTGAAGATTCATCCTGGAAAATCTCCGCAAGCATTTTCAATTGCAGAGGGATAGCAGTAAAGTCACGTTCCTTACAACGGTAACCTTTTGTCCACGATGACATTCTTGCTATCAGGGCCACAGCGTACTTCTCGCATTTATCTCTATTCCCCCCTTCTATGTCGAGATTGTACCCCCAATACCTAGTGAGGAATTCCACCTGGTTCTGTTCAGTGAAAAGCTGCAATACAAACGGCTTCACTTTCAAAACTGCTTCCAATTCTCGGACCAAGTGGGGTTTTGTGGTAACGAAGAGTTTCGCGACATTAGCTGCTTGTAGGCACTGGGTCAGCATGCTAAGGACGAGTCCCGTATAGTCGGGGCTGATCTCGTCGATCCCGTCGAGCATCAGCACGACCTTTTTGTCCATGGAGAACACAAACCTTTCTAAGTGGTTGGTTAGTTCTGTTGCCTTTTTGGAATTTAACAGTTTCGTTAAAATGAATCCGCGATCGTTGTTTAAGGCTCTTAAGGTATCGGTGTATTCGGAGAGTTCTATTTTGATCACCCACAAGTAAGGACTTTTCTCTTTTATTGCAGCTGCCAGGTTTGCAAGGACGGCGCTCTTTCCCATTCCTGCACTGTCCGAGATAAGTACCACGTTTTCGCTCGCATCGTAGAAGCTTTCTTCTGGGTACGTCTCTTCATCTACAGTTAAAGGCGTTGTTGGCAATACGTCTTCGTCCTTAGGCACTTGTCTCTTAAATGTACGATTTATATAGTGACGGGAGTTGCATTCGACTAAACTTGACGGTCTTACGCCCACTTTGATTTCCTGCTTTCTAATTAGCATTTCTAGTATTTCAGAATTTACAGCTCTCGTCCAATCCTCAGTTGTTTGCGTTTCTAACAGCTCTTCCAAGCTGACTTTCTCTCCTTGAAAAATAACGTTCCTCTCCCTTACTAGCCTCTTCTGGCACTCATCTGAAAGAGCTTCGAACGCCACGGATTCATCGACCTGGACGATATCGTCTAGTTCGGATTCTCGGCTAAATTTATCGTCGTCTTCGGCCACCAAAATGACCTTTTTAAAACCGTATTTCTCCAGTATACCCTTTAATTTCGCACTTATTTCCTTTACCGTGGCTTTTTCGCTGATTTTAACCCCAATTATTATCAAGAAGGTGTAACGGGGTAATCTAAAAGCCTCTATGACCCGTTTCTGTACCTCCGCTGTATCATCTGGATTGACGTATAGTGTTTTGCCTTCATCTTTCTGCAGGACATGATAAACTTTCAACGCTTGAAGCAAATGTCCTCCTTCCGAGTTGATGTGGAAGATTCTTTTGGGGTCCGTGAATTTAAAATCGTTGTATCTGAAGGTCACGTTGTAGTTTTTCAACTGTTCGCAGTACTTGTCGCTTTTTATCTCGCTGAACATTGCTCTAGCTCGGTCTTCCGTCAGATATTCGCCCTTCGGTTGCTTGAACCAATCTTCAATCTTCTTATATAACTCCTGGGACGACACCTTGCGATATAAACTGGATTCGTTCAAGAGTGACAGCGACTGTTGAATAATTTTGTCCAACTTGTCCCCGCTCGGGTAATTTGGGAAAAATTGTAAATGATCAAGGAAGTCCTTTATGTTTTCCTCCGTCACTTTGTCGATGCCTTTGCGTTTTAAAGTGTTGTTGCAGTAAACCTCCGCACTAGCTTTCAAATCGGGCACGATGTTCTCGTTAAAGGTGAAAAAACGAAAAGTGGCCCCTTCATAGTGCAGCATGCTGTCGGGACCAACGAAATGGCCTGTTAAAAAGTTCTCTAGACCTTTTTCGTCGATATGCGTATTAGTGCAAATGATAACCGTCTTCTCCACAGACTCAGACTTGACTTCAAGGTACGAGAAAAAGTATTTGGGAAGACTGAAATCGGCGCTCTTGGAGTTGCACGAAAAGAGTTGATCCACGTCGATTTTCTTGTTCTGCTTAAACTTGGCCTGCAGGAGAAGGCTTTTATCCTGCAGTTCCAGTACGAGGTCGTCGTATTTCCCTGCCTCCTGGTTCTCCGTGGAGATCTTCCAGTTTTTCCGGCCGCTGATGGCATTTAGCAAAACCACAGTGAGCAGATTCAGTTGGAATTGTACCCCTTCGAGGCCTGCATTTCCTTTACTCTTTTTGTACGTATCGTCCATCGTTTTTGTCGATAAAATCCTGCAAGAGATTATACAGTGTCAATAATAAAGTCTGCGTCTTATCGGAAAAATATTAAAGAGCAATACCAAATGTTGTACAGAGAAGCAATCACATGAAAATTACGTTAATTAAAAAGGAAGGTAGTTTATTTTTTAATTTTGTTCATATATGTATAATTTAAACGATCCCCAGGCATTTTTATTTAAATTTTCAGCGAAAATTATGTTATGTTATGTCTGTAATAACATAACAATAAATTGACAACTAACTTGACAAGTGTCATGTTATTTCAATTGTTTTTGGAGTGTTTCTGGTCATGGCCAATTTGACAGCAGGTCTGATACGAGAAAAACTGTCTAAAAAATAGAAAATTGCAGATCTCTAAAAGTAGTAACGGCAACCATAACAATGATTATACGGCTTGAAAGGAAATTTCATTCTGCACACGACAGAGTAAAAAAATACAGGGTGTTCCGTTTAAGTTAACAAAGTTGTAGCTGTTTGAAGTTATCAAAATGTAATGGCAAAAATTAAACATTTGGAATTAAATGTTTTAATTTGTTGGTATACCATAATGTACTGTTACCTATGCCCTTTACAGGTACCAAAAATCCACTTGATATCACGCTCCTGAAAAGAGTTGCTAGCATCTCCGCGAACCCTTGTATCTGTCAAATTTTTTCTTTAAAAATTAATATCTCAAAATTTATAACTCCTAGGTATAGGGAATATTTTATAAAGTGACCCTCAAATTTCCCCAGGGACATTGCCATGTTGCTAAATTTTTAAATTTTTCGGAGCAGTACTTTCCTAGATATCGATTGACGCAGTTCCCGGTGAGACACCCTGTATAAGGTGTTCCATTTAAAATAAGCAAAGAGAGGGCGCCTTCCGGTATAACCGGAATTGCTCCAACGATGGCATTATTTTATTTAAATAGAGCACCCCGAAAAACTCAGGGCACAACTTTTCAAAATTTAAATCGAAGTAGTCTGAAATATTCTAATGGATTTTCGGTTTATTTTTTTCGTAAACAGTTGTATTATCATGCCATTAAAAAATTTTGAAAATTTTATTAGTTTTAAGGATCAAAAAATGACTGAAAAAATTCCATCTTTTTTTGGGTACTTACGTTTTTTTCAAATAACTCTTTCAATTTTTATATTATGATGAGAATGACTTTTTAAAGAATGAAGCTGCTGACTTTTTTCACGAATTTAAAAAATATTTTTCTTTTAACCTTCTGGTGCCGAGATAACATTTATTTAAAAAAAATCTAGAGGACGCAATTAACATTTTACAGCAATGCGCTTGATGGAAGTTAATTGATGATTACGTGACCAACCGTTTCCTGAATATGCGATAAGTAATCGAAAGATGAGGAATTTTACGTCATTTTTCACATGTTATTAGGTTATTTAGGTTTTAGGTACATTCGTCTAATTAAATATTTCGAAAAACTGTTTATTTCTAGTTTTATTACAACTGAATATTAGAAATATACTAAACAAAAATGCGTGATCAAAGTTCTTTTCAAACAGGAAGTAATTTTTATGAAAGGACGATCGTAGTAAAGTCACCACATAGCCTTAAAATAACCTAATAGTAAAATAATTAATACAAAGAAAACGTACAGAATTATAAAGAAAAAACATTAAAGATAACTACAACAAAAGTTATTCAAAATTGATTTGGCATAGGTAACTTTTAATTGAAACATTTTTTGTATTAATTCATATTATCAGCTGTTTGGAAAATTCAGCCTTGAATAATAAATATTGTTAAATACCTGAGATAGAAGGCTTTTCGTGGATGTGTCGGTTTCTTCACTCTTGAGATTATAATTTGATAGTCGCTGTGATGAAATAGAAGCATAAAAAACTGGTAAATATGTTGCGCAACGAACTGTAATGTGAGAATACGCAAGCTTGGAATTTACTAGCTTACAGACGACCAACTCGAGAGACGTACTTTAGTGAACAGTGAACCAACAACCAACTTCGAAACATTTCCCAATGATGAATATCGGTATTTAGGAGCGGTACTTTGCGACCTTTGCGTACGGGCTACAATAACCGGTATTGGACGGAAGTCTTGTGAAAAAATACTTCGTTTGCGAGATACAGGTTGCAGAAGTTAAAAAATTTGGACGTATCTCGTTAAGCATTTTTTTTTCTAATTTGACATGAAGAATGTTAAAGGAGACTTCTTTCGGTCATTTTTACAAGAAACAAACGTTACGCCACCACCGTGTAAAGCAAAATTGATGACTTTTTTCAATGATTCTTAGATTTTTTAACATAAAACGCATAAGTACTTGTTGCACACTACCAAAATGTAGTCAGTGTCAGTAGAGAGTCGAGTAGTGGGGAGTATTCTAACGTAATTAAACTTCACTTGTTTGTTTCATTTGCAACTAAATTAAACATATATTTTGGCGAGGCCTACTATCGAAATAAATGAAATAGACCCCTGAGTTTGGAAAGCGATATTAGGAAAACGTAGAGGCGAAAAATTTTGAAATTGGGACCATATATAGCCTCACTATTACTCTATTGTGTGCTAAAATTTCAGTTAGTTTCGTTATCCCATTTTTTAGTTATTAATGAAAATGTTGAAACGGTTTTCTACCTGCAAAATTGATACCTCTCAATTCAACCCGTCGTAATTTTGTTGTTAATTGATAAAAAAATCCAAATTTTTACTGACGATAAGTCGAACTATTGCCTTTAATACTGTGAATGTCATTTGTCTCAAAAGCTCTTCTTTTTTTATTTTTAAACAAAACAGAAGTCAGTGGAATCTCCGTAAATATTGCGTTCTTTAAAAAAATAAAAAAACTGACACAGGTAGTAGATTACTGTAAACAACAGTCTGAAATTATTAAAATAATAATAAATAATTTATTAGTTAACCCATCGTTCCCGTTCAGCATGTTGTAGCAAGCAGTGGCGGCTCAAATATTTTATTTGTAGAATAATTGTTTGGCCTGTTTCATTTTCATTTTTATTGGCTACCTGATTAAACTCTTCTTACTCTTCGGAAATATTAGGAATTTTGTAATCTTATTTTTAATCCGTCTGGTTTAGTGTTAAGTGTTACCGCAAAAGAATATTCTTGGATAATCCCCAGAAAACATGTTTTAAAAATTGTTATTGAGCAGTAAGTGGCACATTGGCATGTTATTTATTTCTATAAATAGTATTTTCCATTGCGGTTTAAGCGGTTTGAAATGCATCGCAAAATACACAAAACTGGAACAGGAAAACAGGGAAAAAGAACATTTAGTAGATATCGCTATAGATTCTTTAGTAATAAATGTGAATGATGACGACGAAGATACAGATGATGACGCCAATTGATGATAATGAAAAATTAAAAAATTTCTCGAGGCAAAATTTACTACCGCAGTGTGTGGTATCAAATATTTATAATTTTTTAATTTTTTAAAATGTAAGTGTCTCGTGATTTATTTCTATTCTTTTGTTCATCAAATTCAATAAAAAAAAATATTAGTTCGTTGATATTTATTTTCTAGAGGTCGCTCGAATAGGTACACTTTGAAAGTTAAAGTAATTATGAGTGACCTTTAGAAATGAAAATATCGATTTGAAATTTTCAGAATCGAGATTTTTTCAACCTAGAAAATGATTAACGAGAAAAATATAAAAAAAATTCAATATTTGACGATTTATGAAATTTTTAAAAATCTTGAGCGACCTCTAAAAAAATTTTTTTGTGCTGAATTTTTGAGGGGTCTCTTAAAATATGATAAACTAACATATTTTCACAAGAAACACGAAAAAAATAAATAATCGTTTATTAATTAACAAAAAAATTACGACAAGTTAAAAGTGAGAGGTATCAATGTTGCAGGTAGAAAACCGCGATTTTTTCAACATTTTCATTAATAATTAAAAAATGGGACAACGAAACTAACTGAAATTTTAGCACACAATAGAGTAAAAGTGAGGCCATACGGGGTGTCCCAGTGACATCTATTAAAGGTCATTAAACCTAAATGTTGTTTATTTCGATCTGACGCCAGGGGCGGCCTAGGCCAACTTGTCCTCAATGTGGCCTAGAAAACTTTGTTTTTTATAATGACAGGTACCTACTAGATAACAAGAAACAAAATCTTTTCTACGAACTAATGCAATCGATACTTTAGACCCAATGTACTCGAAAACGGTTCATTTTTGAGCTATGAAACAAGAGCACATTTTTTGTTCAGAATCGATTGCAGATTCAGGAAAACATAATCAAATTATATAAAACTAGGCTATGCAAAAGTTATTAAGACATAAGCTTAAGGACAAGTTGGCCCCTAGCGTCAGATCGAAATAAGCACCATGTAATTTTAAAGACCTTTAATAGATGTACACTTCGCCCAAAAATTACTTAAATCCCTGAAAGGGTTTCTGAGTTATTGCGGAAAGTTATTATTTTTTTTAAACGACACCCTGTAACTCAGTGAAAGTGCATCGCAGAAAAATATTTTAAAAGAATTTTAATCTTATTTTGGTCTGGTCTACCTGTAGTAAATTTTTGTACGCTGACACTGGGACACCCTGTATATGGTTCAAACTTCAAATTTTTTCGCCCCTACGTTTTCTTAATATAGGTTTCCAAATTCGAGGGTTTATTTCATTTTTTTCGATAGTAGGTACATTGTACTTCTTTAGCGATATCTAGGAATCTCTGACCTAGCCAGAAGCCTCAGAACTACTATAAAACGAATCTTTCCAATAACGAAAAAAATGTACCTACATACAGCTGTTACTTATTAATTTTATTAGATAAATTCCCTTATACATATTGTTTATCTACATCGTTCTAGATCTCTGTTAAATTGAGTTGTTTGCAATTACCCTGATATCAGGTTGGCCATTAATATCCAGTCACGATTCCATTTTGATCAACCACTACAACGCGAAAACAATAACTCGTGTTACCTTCTAATAAGCGCGCGCGCACAGGTTGAGTATATTGGAACACTATGCAAACCGAACGGCACTTTAAAATTTTCATGACATGAGCACTTCAGTTTAAGTTAATTGTGCACAATATTAAACAAAACAGTATCAGAATGCCGAAATGGTACCAACTTACCAATTTTTGCATTATTTCTTTTTTCTTATTCCCATTCCTACTTTTATATTATTATATTCATATCCTTAAAGTAGTTAACAATTTGACGGCGACCTTTATAGTGAGCAAGCTGCAGTGGCGTGCGACCATCTTTATTTCTAATCCTCAAATCTGCACCCACTTTAAGAAGGAATTTTATTGCGCCCAGATTACCAGATACGGTAGCAAGATGCAGTGGCGTGCTGTCGTCATTATCTCCAACATTTAAATCTGTGCCCAGTCCGTGAAGGAATTCGACTGTGTCCAAGTGACCAGCCCAGGCAGCCAGATGCAGAGGCGTACGGCCGTTGATGTCCCTGATATTGACGTCACCGACGAGAATCACTAGAAATTTGACGACAGTCAATTGACCCTTAGCAGCAGCCAAATGCAGAGGCGTGCTGTCGTCATTATCTCTAACATTCAAATCTGTACCCAGTCCGTGAAGGAATTCGACGGTGTCCAAGTGACCAGCCCAGGCAGCTAGATGCAGAGGCGTGCGGCCGTCGTTATCCCTGATATTGACGTCGTCGACCACATTCACCAGAAAGACAACAGTCAATTGACCCTCCGCAGCAGCTAAATGCAGCGGCGTGCGGCCCTTGTCGTCCTTGATACTGACATCAAAGCTGTGTTTGACGAAAAACTCGACGGTGTCCAAATGTCCCTCTCTGGCAGCAAGGTGCAGTGGCGTCCTGCCGTCGTAATCTCGAATATTTAAATTTGCATCCAGTTCATGAAGGATTTTGATTGCGTCTAAGCGTCCAAAAAAAGCAGTTAAATGCGATGCCGTGTTGCCTTCATAATCTCTAACACTGAGGTTCGCGCCCAGTCCAATCAGGAATTTAACTATGTCTGAGAAACCGTAAATGGCAGCTAGATGCAGGGGCGTACGGTGGTACTTATTTTCAACATCGAAATCCGCACCTAGTTCGAGAAGGTACTTGACCGTGTCCAAGTGGTGACCCGAGACTGCAGAATGCAGTGCCGTGCCGCCATCGAAGTCTCTTACATTTAAGTCTGCGCCCAGTCGATGAAGAAGTTTCACTGTGTCCAGGTGACCTCTGGCGGCGGCAAAATGCAACGCCGTGCGGCGGTTCACGTTTTGGATATCGATATCGTGGTTGGATTTTACGAGATATTCGACAATGTCCAAATGACCGTTGCTCGCAGCGCAGTGCAGTGCCGTACATCCCATGAAACCTGCGCTGTTGAAGTCTGCTCCTTGCTCGGTTAGAAACCTCACCATTTCGAAGTGGCCGCCGTCAGCGGCATAGTAGAGTAGCGTGCTCCCAAACCTGTCCCTGATGTTGATTCCAGCCTCTTGAGTAATAATCCTCGTAAATAATAGTACATTTTCCTTTTTCTCTCTTCGGTTAACTCGAATTTTTCGTATAAGGGCTTGGGAAACGCTTCTGTTGTTATCGAGATCGTGACTTGTCAAATCTTCGATGTTAATTTCTTTGCCTCTGACAATCTTGAAATTTACGCATTTGAGGACGAGTTGCAGAATTGCGATACAACCCTCTTCCGCTAATAAATGAATAAATCTGTGGCCATCCATCCAACAGCATTGGTCACAAGTATGGGATTCATATTTCTCGAGAATATTTGCGGGTACAGAATCCACGACTCTATTTAGAAAATTGTCAAGGAAGCCGCGGATAATCACATTTTCAGGGAGTTGTAAAACTTTACTTACGAAAAACTCTTGAAACTTTATATCTGGACTGTGTAACTGAACTTGCAATTCGTGGACTATACTTTCCGCAACAAAATATTCGGCGAAAGTCCTGTGAATAAACTGAGGTTCGTCGTTTGTTCTCTGCACGATTCCTATTTTCAGTACGCTCTCGTTTATATCCTTACAACTTTGTTGATAACACGAGAAAATCCGACGATCTTCTTTATGTAAAATCACTTCTAAAGCGAGTCTTCTGTGGCACTTGAGGGATTCATCGAATTGATCAATTAACGCCATATTTGCCGCCGAATTCCCGCTGGGATTTCCTTTGTATATGTAGATGTCTCTTTTTTTCTCAATAAACATGTCGTACAACTCTTTAATTTCCATTTTTTCGGGCAGTTTCGGTTTTCCCCTAGTTTCCTTTAAGAACTCCTTGCATCCTTCCCAATCGGATGACTTATTCTGTTTTATGCTTTCCTGGAAAATCTCCGCGAGCATTTTCAGTTGCAGAGGGATCGCAGTAAAGTAGTCTTCAGCGTAATATCCCTTTGTCCACGAGGATACCCTACTTATCAATGCTCTGGCGTATCGCTCGCACTTTCCTCTACTATCATCATTTATAGCTAGATTATAAAACCAATAACTAACAAGGAAGTCGACCTGGTCCTGTTCCGTGAAGGGTTGCATCACGAATGGCTTCACTTTCAAAATGGCTTCCAATTCTTGGACCATGTGAGGTCTTGTAGTAATGAAGAGTTTCGCGACATTAGCTGCTTGTAGGCACTGGGTCAGCATGCTAAGGACGAGTCCCGTATAGTCGGGGCTGATCTCGTCTATCCCGTCGAGCATAAGCACGACTTTCTTGCTCGAGGAGAACACAAACTTTTCTAAGTGGTTCGTCATTTTCGTCGCATTTTTAGAATTCAACAGCTCCATTACACTTACGGTTTCCCGTCGATTAGCTAGCACGTCCCTTAAGAAGCTAGAGTACCTAGTGAGTTCAATTTTGATCACCCACAAGTGAGGATTCTTTTCTTTTATAGCCATTGCCATTTTGGTAAGGACAGTGCTTTTCCCAGTTCCTGCACCGTCCGAGATAAGTATCACCTCTTGGTTTACGTCATGAGTGCTCATTTCTGGAAAAGTCCCTTCTTTCACTTTATTAGTAGTACGTCCATATTCATTTAAATGTGGTTTTGCTTGTTGCAATTCGCAAGTGCCTGGTTCAATCTTACTATTACATATTTGTATTTTAAAGGTGCGAGCTATGTAATATCGAGAGTTGCTTTCGTCTAAATATAAAAGTGGATCGCCCACTTTTATTTCTTTCTTTCTAATTAGCATTTCTAGAATTTCAGAATTTATAGCATTCCTCCAATCCTCATTTGTTTGTGTTTCTAATAGTTCTTCCAAGCTGATCTGCTCTCCTTGAAAAATTATGTTGTTCTGTTCTACTAACCTGTCCTGGCATTCATCTGAAAGATTTTTTAACGTCACTGATCCACCAACTTGAAAAATATCGTTTGGTCCGAATTGCCGACTTAGTTTATTGTTGTGTTCGGCAACCAAAATGACTTTCTTATAGCTGTATTTCTTTAGTATATCTTTTAATGTACTACTAATTTCCTTTATTGCCGCGTCTTGAGTAATTTTAACCCCAATTATAATTAAAAAGGTGTAGCGGGGAAGTGCGAATGCATTTATGACGTGTTTTTGCACCTCGATGTCATCGTTAGGATTGACATACAATTTTTTGCCTTTATCTTTATGCAGTGCATCGAAAACCTTCAATGCCTGCAACAGATATTTTCCATCGGAATTGACTTGGAAAATTTTTTCTGGATCAGTGAAATTAAAACTAGTTTGTCTAAACGACACGTTGTAGTTTTTCAATTCTTCGCAGTACCTGTCACTTTTTATTTCGCTAAACATGGCTTTCGCTCGTTCCTCTGTTAAATATTCCCCCTTTGGTTGTTTGAACCAATTTTCTACTTTCTTATATAACTCTTGCGAAGAGACCTTGCGATATAAACCGGAATTGTTCAAGCGTAATAACTGTTCAATAACTTTGTCTAATTGGTCTCCACTAGGATAATTTAAAAAAAATTGAAAATGATTCAGAAAATCCATCATGTTTTCCTCTGTTACTGCTGCCTTGTCGATGCTTTTGTCACGTAAATTTTTATGGAAGTAAACCTCCGCACTAGCTTTTAACTCGGGCAAGATGTTTTTATTAAAAGTATAAAATGGACAAAAGTTCCCTTCGTAGTGCAGCATGCTGCTGGCGCTTAGACAATGGCGTTTTAAACAGTTCTCTAAGCCTTTTCCTTCGATATCCGTGTTGGTGCAAACAATAACAACCTTCTCTACAGAACTAGACTTAACCTCCAAGTACGAGAAGAAGTATTTGGGAAGGCTGAAATCGGCGTTCTTAGCGTTGCACGAAAATAATTGTTCTCTGGTGACCTTTTTGCTTTGTTTGAACTTGGCCTGTAGCAAAACGCATTTGTCGTCCAAATCGAGAACGAGGTCGTCGAACTTTCCAGCTTCCTTGTTCTCCGTGGACATTTTCCAGTTTTTCCGGCTACGGAGGGCATTTAGCAAAAACACAGCGAGCAGATTCAGTTGGAATTGAACCCCTTCGAGTCCGGCGTTTCCTTTGCTTTTTTTGTACGTGTCTTCCATCCTCTTGGCAGGTGAAAATCCTGCAAAAGAAATAATACGGTGTCACCAATAAAGTCCGCCATTTATTTTGGAGCAGTTTCCTCACTGCGCCATCTACATATGAAATTTGTTTATAAACTAACCAGTGGTATCGAAATTAGGAGTCTAGAGAGTTTCGACTGCTAAAAAAGTTATTTGAAGTTATAAATAAAAATTTACAGAATTGGATAGACATTTTTCAAATCAATCTTTCCTGCTTTCAGAATTTATTCCAAATAATTTGAGAGCTTTGCTTAAAATAGCAAAGATGCTTCCTTAAAATTATTTTTTTATTGCTAATATTAAATTTCTACGCTAAACCTGCATTTTCACTCAAATTTAAATATTTCACAAACAATAAGTCCTAAGTATGCAGAACCTTTAATAAAGTTCACCTATTTTTTTATGGTGCTTTCAAAAATGCAGTAAAATACATAACTTTGATATGGTACGCTTTTCCTGGTCACCCTGTATATTTCAAAATATTATTAAAATGTATCCGTAATCAACCTACACATACCCGCCTAAGCAGGTTTTTATAATATTTTCCGTTTGATTCCTAGCGACCGAGACGTTACTGGTGGCCCACCCTGTAGTATACAGGGTGTTCTCAAAGTCCGCCAGGAAACTCCGGGGGGTTATTCTAGAGATCGTCAATTGTTTGCAAGTTACAGCTTGTCAAAGTTCAAATTTTTATTATTTTTTTAAATAACTTATTTAATTAAATTTCGATTAGTCTCTGAATTTGGCACACCCACTAAGTAGATCAAGCTCTGTTGGACCACTCAGAAAAAACTTTCCTTATGTACTGCTAGAGGGCCCTTAACCTAGAAGTCAAAATTTGTTTTGTTTGTAACTTTTTCCCTTGCTAGACATCACAGAAATGTAAACATTGATGAAAAGAGAAACAATATAAGAAAAAATTATGTAGGTACTCTTCATTCAAGCTGATAAATGTAACCGATTAGCAGGAAATCGCTATTAAAGTTGTATTAAACATCAAATTTTTGTTAATTCTTTCTGTCTGGTTTTACAAGAGATGGCATTACAAATTATCATAATGCTCATAATAATCATAATCAATAAAAAACAGATATTAATTAACAAAGTATTTTATTATAACAAATGTTCGTACTGACTTCCATTCAATACATTTTCTAATGCGTTTTAAAAATGACCGTCTGACGCGATTAAAAACACCGATATTGTTTCACTTCTCGATAACTGATAGTGAATAAAATGAAGTTTAAAAAAAAATCACATTCATTTCCGGACACCCTGTATCTCTGTATACCTATTTACATCTTTGTTCAAGTGGCTTTGCTTCCCGTACCTCCCCTCCTACACTTCTTTATTCGCGTTACGGTGATACCCACCGTTCGTGAATAGACCATGAGTAATTGAAAGATAACTAATTTTATTAGAGATTACCTTTAAAACGTACTTACTTAAGCAGATAATAAGAGCGAGATAGATTGTAGTAATTACGATTCTTGATCTTACGTGTAAGACAATGCATAAAATACCGAATTATATTAATGCCTTTAGTAGATATATAAACGTGGTTAAATACCTGAGACACAAGCCTTTTTGTTGGTGCCTTTTTCTTCGTCTTTTGAGAATACAATTCGATAATAACGACGACGAACCAAGAGGACAGATAAAACTATGCTAATACGCAAATATTGTACGTTACACTATGATAAATGGCTGAGGCAAGAAATTTGCCATTAAAACGACAGATAAACAACGTCTATACGTGTTTAACTATGTGTCTACACAGTGTTGCCAGATGGAAATTTCTGTCAACAGTAGGAATGTAGCCAAAAAAACAGGAGATTTCTTTTTTCAACAGGAGATTTTAATAAATATATTTTTTAATAGAGGAACACAAGTACATGCACAAAATATAGCAAAATATATAAATGTAGGAGTTCGTTTAATAGTTTTCAATTACATCGGTACGTCACGTGATTTGACAACTGTCAGATGTCAAAATGATAAATCCCGGAATCCCGCTGAAGTAAACGAACTCGCCTTCTGTTAGGCCCAGTTCATATAAACGCGAATTGCGCATTTAAAATTTAAATATGTACATGAACTGGGCTACAGAAAATATAACAGGACTGAAAATATTGACAAGTGACGAACATAGTGCCGTTAGAGAACAGTGTAGTACTAAAATATACTTATTCTAGGGAAAATTAGTATAATCAACAGAAGATTTCATAGAGAAACCAGAAGAATAGACATTGAAACTAAAAACAGGAGATCTCATAGTGAAAACAGTAGAACAGGAGAGTGAGAGTGAAAACAGGAGATCTCCTGTTAAAACAGGAGATCTGGTAACACTGTGTCTACACTAGAGTACATTATAACAGAAACAGATAACAGAACATGTAGTAAAAGCGGAAACTCTATTTAAAACCACAAAAACAAGGCGATAGTAGCGCAACTAGTTGTCAGGCACAGAACTACGTTTCGTGTGGAAACTGCAAAACGATACATTCGTTATTTTTTAAGGTAGTTTTACATAATTATATTTTTTATATAAAATTTGTGTTCGTGTGTTTGCTGCAAGGAATATTTTTGAGTTTTAACTCATAAATAATACACAGTAGTAATATTTACTATTTAAGACTCTTAGAAAGAGAAATTTTATTTTTCTATTCTCAGTACATCTATAAATAACTGAAATTTTACCTGTATTCATATCAAACATATTTAAGTTTCTTCATCACAAAACGTCTATATTATAGAAAAAATATTCAAGTAAAGATTTATTTAAAACAGTTTTAATAAATAGGTATTAGTGTTATCCCACTTACATTAGATTTGAGACTGTAGCTTATATGTCTGAATGGAAAAGGATTTCGAGTCGAATATTTTTCTTCACATTCGCAGAGAAACTGTCACTGCAAATCGCTTTTCGATCTTTCATGTAACTCTTATTTGGATATGATATATTTCTTTGATTATATGCAGAGAAAATATTTTCAGGTGCAAATACGCTATTGCTTCGTGCATGTTTCAGCTTATTGACTTGAATATTTCTTTAGAGATGAAAATATTTCTAAGGGACTTGCGTCAGAGAAATCCAAAAGGCAGATTCCACATTTAATTACGAATTGTATTTAAGGGCACAGCAATATTGAGCCATATTCTGCTTTAAGGACCGACATCAACATTCCAATCAAGGCACGAGTCAATTCTTATTCCGTGAATTATTTACCGGTGTTTGGTGTATTTGTAACCAGTACATTGTGTAGTTTCAAGGTTAATGAAATAATCTTAATTTTCGAAACCGAGAGAGAGATGCACTATACAAATTTGAACAGAACGTGGCAAATACAATGCGAAACATCGCCTTAATGTTAAAAATGTTGTCACTGCCGTTTGTGGTGGTGAAAATTCGAAATATTTGGAATTATTATTTTTATAGTGTTGCGAATGCTGTTAGGATCAGGAGCAGGAAAAATTATAGTACTACCATCAGTATATAATAATGATAATGCTTAATAAAAGCTCTAATATTGTACAGAGTTCGTTAAATTACAGAAATATGCACAATTATAAGAGCTCTTGAACGATGTCTTTACTTTTCCTGTAATTTTCAGATCCCAAGTAATGTGGCTGAAGTTTTTGAGGGGTGCTGGTCGATACTGACATAGGTGGCTGGTTGCAGCATTAGAGATACGTCATCCCCTGAAATTCATGAGGAGAGAATTTGTAGCAAGTACATATCTTTTATTTAAATAAAATGTAAATGAACAAAATAAATTTATTTCGACGTGGCAAAAACCGGCAAATAAAGAAATTGCAAGAGAAGAGAACAAGTAGAACAAATATTGCCTATTAATATTGCTCGTGATAATTATAATTTCAAAAAGGCTGATTATAACGGCATTATCAATCACTTAAGCAATATTAATTGGAATTTGTTATTTAGCAGTAAATCAGTTGATGATTATGTCATATGTTTTTATGAAAAACTTAATTCTGCCATTGATTTATATGTACCTAAAGTAAAAATTAAACATCATAAATTTCCAAATTATTTTTCTATTGAAACAATAAATAAGGTTAAAGATAAAATTAAGTATCGTAAAAAATGGAAATTATATAATAATCATAGCGATTATATTAAATTTAGTCTTTTTAGACGTCAAAGTAAACAGCTGATACACAGAGATTTTAAAAATTATATTAATAGTATAGAAAATGATATTCAATCTTATCCGAAAAGAATTTGGAATTTTATATCAAATTCTAGAAAAGATTTTGGCATATCCAACTCCATGCATTTCAATGATGTTTATGCTTATAATGGTCCTGATGTATGTAACCTTTTCTCATCTTACTTTCAAAGTGTTTATGAACCATATGTACAAAAACCACTCCAAATATTTAATTGCACAAATATGAATGGAGGTAACAGTATTTCTCTAGTACAAATAACAGAGTATTTCATATCAGATAAATTCGTTCATATAGACAATAATATTCATAGTCCTGCCGTTAAATAAGCGAAATTCGCTTGAAAATAATATACTTGATAGTCTGTAACTCCGCTGTATTTCAACGAATCTTGACGATTTTTTTTTAACTTAAAGCTCTTTTCATAAGCTTTCCGAATATGTAATGTAACATATAACTATATCACGCTCGTGCGTCGTATATTTCATTTTGCAACTAAGGCGAAAAAAAATTCCAGGTTGCAAAATAATATTCTTTTATACAAAATTGTTCGTGTGTTGCAAGAAATATTTTTATATTTTAACTCAATAGTACAGTCGTATACTTAAAGAATATTGTGATGTAAAGCTGTCTGTAAAGATATTTTGCTCGATAAAATTTTAGGAAGAAAAATGAAAAAGTGAATGGATAATATCTTTTTATTTAAAATGGATATAGAATATTTATACAGATGAAATATATGATGATACAGCATTATATAATAACAATTAGTTAACAATAATTAGATTAAATTGACGAATTAACACCAGCCAACAGAATTGCAAGCTATGACGTAAATAGTAAATAATTTACAGATGTTTGCAAAAATAAAACGATGCTACATCTTTATTAAAAACAAATATGCCTGAGAATATATTTAAATATTACGTACTATATGACACTGGATATTACATATCACTCGTAGATGTTGAACTGCAGTCATGAGATCAAGTACTAGAACAAAGAATATTTTAAATTTTTCTATATAGTGGAGTCAAGATAGCTTAAAATTACGCATTATTTCGAAATAATTATGGGAAGCATGGATTTTCCTTAAACCTTTTGAAATTACTTGGAGATAAGTATTAGAAAAAAGTTATAAACTTATTTTTGTACGCTAATTGTTTTTTAATTGTTTAAACAATAATAAATAGTTT